GGATAATGTCAGGCGGGATCTATGGGAGATAGGAGTTGGAGGAGACTGGATTTTGTTGGCCCAGGACAGGGTCCGGTGGAGGGCTTTGGTTAATTCGGTGATGAACCTTCGGGTTCGGTAAGCCATCTAGTTAGTTAGTTAGTTAGTCGAGTAGAAGTTTCCCGACGTTTCAGAGGTCCTTGCTGCCTCCATCAGGGCGACCTCGACTTGAAACTTTGTCTTTCGAATTAAGTACAGAAAGTAAATCGAGAATAGGTGATTAAAGGGGTCTGAGAAGAATGTCTGGACCTCAAATGGATGAGTGACATTGAACTGAATAAAACTACATAAGAAGAAGCTCACACGATGTGATTTCAACCAAATAAGTTATTAGCCTAACCAAATAAAGTAGGACTGATTGGAAGGGGTATGAAGCACGTATGGGAATGAGAAAAGGATAATATTAAAACGGGCAATAGAGAAAAAAGGTGCAAAGGTAACCGCAATACATATAAAGTATATTCTATTGCACTTCATTAAATAGGCTATGTACCATACTGATAAATATTTCAAATAAAATTATAAAAAATTTAACGACTTTTTAATACATATTTATAACGCACCACTTTTGTTAACACTGAGAGCCCTTGTTTAGAAAATCAACTAAGTTCGATTTAAGCTTCAGAAATCAAAATTAAAATCGCTCTTCAACTTAAGTTCCGAATACAAATTCTTAATCAAAATTTGTCGGATACTTTTGGAATTAAAACTTGCAGACACACAGGCAGACAGACGGACATGTTATGAGTATATTTTATGGGCTTCATAAAACGTCTTCAGGAAATGTTATATAGCGTTTAATAATGAGACAATACATTTGAATCCTTTAACAGCGTTTTCCACACGAACGAGAAGAAAGATAGGGAGACGGACGAATGACCTTGGCCTTAATCTTCGTTATGAAACAGGCCTCCACCGAGGAAAGTTTCAAATGACACACAATTTACTTCACACACGAAACATTTCGTGGAGCAGCAATGAATGTTATTACGACAGATCAGGTCCATGTCTTAGCCTTGGCTGACCACATGCAAAAGTTAATCGCAGCGCCAGACAGATCATTACACGAGTTCATCTTGGCGGTAAAAACTCCAATCGATTACTACCCGATCATTAACGTCGGTTATGTTATTACAAGAGCCACGGTGGTCTAGCGGTTGGAACGCTGGCCTTGTAATCCTGGGGTCTCGGGTTCGATTCCAGGCCGTGCCCGAATTTATAACTTGTGTTGGGCAAGGCCGTGGTCTAGGCAACACGGAGTTTTCCTCCGTGGCATCCCAACAATTACTCCATTCACACACAGAAGAAGGCAATGGCAAACCACTTCTGGATCATCTGCCAAGAACGTATATGAACAGGCCCCAGTCCGAGAAAAGGATGGAAGGATCCTGTTCATATGGACCTGTCCTCAGACAGAACACTAAATAATAATAAATAAATGTTATTACATTAAAACAGGCCGCGAAACGTAAACCATTATTCGGTCTCCGTCTGGTTTATTTAACGACGCATTATCGACAAAATTAGTTATACAGCGCCAACTGTTTTATGATTATGAATATTGACTTTGGAAGAATGTAAACAATTTTAACCATTTAAACTCCATGTGGTAACCATATATACCACCTGATTTAATAATCAATAAGTCTGTACTTTGCACACAGAGATTGGTTTATACGATTATCAGGATAAACTGTGATTATTTCCCTAACAGCCTTAACGCAGTGATCTTGTGTTTAATTTGCTGCGTTGAAAGAATGACTAAATATCCTATTAATTAGACATACTTCGACATCAGAGGGCTTAGACAATGGCGTCGTCTTTTGTAGCTAAGATTAAGAAAAATATTAAAACCATCAGTGAGGACAGATTTTTTTATGGCAGACATTTTAACCAGAGACCACGACTACAAACATTCATAAAAAGAATAGGCTTGATAATGTAAAGGATATTGTCTGACGAGTATCTACTACCTATTATTTAAGGCTATATATCATTGGCTACCAAACAACATGTAAGCGGTCTACTTCAGAATGTCATAATAGCAATTACGTAAGTCCTAATTACTTGTCTTTCGTTCCCAGAATTGCAAATGAAGGCCGAACTTGTATCAGCGAAACGCGAAATCCTCTGGGTACATATAAGTCCGCAGCAGCGCAGAATTCAACAGAGACGCAAACAACTACTCCAAGACTACTCTCGTTAACATTGGATTACATTCAGAGGTGGGCTCCGGTTTTAACGGCATAAACCATGTGGTTATTCTGCCGGATAGACAATCGGATGGTTAATTAATTTATACAAGATTCTAATATACACGTTCTGTGCGACTGTCAATACATAAAATTCAAATTGCCAATATATAATCTATTCTAACGTTCTTCCTGGTTGTGCCATTTTCAACGCACAGAAGTTTATTATGTGAGAATGGAGTACACCGCTTGAAGGTAGATGTTCGTGAATTTGTGGTTTATTTAATGGAACTCTCAGATCTCAGGCCATAGGCATACAGCGTCGAAGCTCCGTTTATGGGAAGACAACTCAAATTGGATCTCAAGGGAAATAAGCGTGAGCATGTGAAATGGATTGAACTGGCTTCTTATTAGCAGTGTCGAACACTGAAGTTTTCTTAGCATGCTGTTTGGTTATTAGATGGAGGCAGGAGATGATTAACTATTAATAATATTATTAGGGTAACCGAATTAAGGATGAGATGTATGTAGGCGA